ACAGGGAGTTAAGAATCCTCTGGGTTTTAGGAAGAGGCATTATCATCTTAACATAAAGATTCAAAAGTAATTTGTTTTTTAGCAGCAAGCAGTCCAAAACTGGCAGAAAGACCTCAGCTTCTAAACATCAATGGTTCTTCATCGTCTTAAACTTTGCCTTCACTAGCTTGTATAGATCCACCTCTCAAATCCATGTATAAGTGTTGGTAATTAGATTTCCTAATATATTTAGATGTAATCTATCATATTTGTAAACTACCACTTGAAGTGAAATGGTATGAGGACATAGGACTGTGGAGTAGAAGTTAGGGTAGTATTGAGTTAGGGGTAACTGATGGACCTGGCTTGTGGAAACCCACCATCAACTCCACATAAAACTGCAATCTCAGGGTTATATCACATGAGAGGAGTAAAAGACGAGAGAAGCTGCTTACAGGAACACGAAAAGCTGTATGAAACCTCAAAACCTGACTCAAGTAAGGTGCTACTGGTTAGACTGGAGATCTATCATTAGAACCTGAAGCATGACTCACTCACAGGAGGGCAGCACTGAATGCCCCAAAGGGAGAAACAAATGGATGCTGCAGGTTCACCTAAACTCCCAAATGTACTCCTTTTAATCTCCTGGAATTAAAACAGGTGTTCACAGGAAGGAAGCTGTGCAACAGAGCTTAAAATATTCATTTCTGAATGAAACCTAGTTGTAATTTTTATTGACAGTAAAGTCACTGGTCTTTTTACAAACAGAATAAATAGTCTATTAAATCTGCTCTAGTTTTGATCCTGCCTCTTTCCATGGTATTTAGCAAGATATTTTTACAGCTATAACTCAAAGTGTGTTGGATACAATAGGATTCAGACTCCTCTTTGCATTGGTTCAAGAAGACATTATTTTTAACCAAATATATACCATTTCTAACAGCAGTCTAGAGTTGTTTTTTGTACCTAAGGAATACTAAGATCTCAGCTGATGGACAGAACTCCAGTTTAAAGTGTTCCAGAGTCTATCAGCTAGTAATGTTTATTTTTAGCATCTGTATGTGCTGGATATGTGCGTGTTACACCAGATATATGGGAAACAGATTTCTAGCATTGTTTGGTTTGAGAATAAATATTTATAAAATAATGTAAATGAAAGAAAAGTAACAGTCTACTTATACTCAGCCCTCAAATCTTTTGGTATTACCCCAAAACTTTTTAAGTTATGCTTTGCAAAATAAAATGGAGCTGACAGTAAATATCTTTGCAAAATGAAATGCATTAGTCTGCTTTTGTCTGAACTCTGCTATCTGATTCTGTTTCTACCAGTTTCTGATAGGGTGACCTACATTTAGATTTCACACAATATCTTACCTCAACTGGCATGTGAGAAAATCTATTGCAATATTGATAAGAGCATTCAAGTAGTTTTTGAAACAGAAAAAAACACCCCCTTCTTTAGAGGATATACAGTTCTTCTCTCCCTAGAACATTATTTATGAAAAGACTATCCCAGTGTAGTAATAAAATGCCCAAATCAGCTGTGTAAAATGAGACAGGCTTGCAAGTTACAGCAATTTAAAAGTCCTTAAATTCTCCCATTTAAATAAATTGTACAATAATGTAAATACTCAGTTTCATTAAAGTTTTTGTTACTTTTGCTAATCTACACAGAAATCACAAAATAAGAGGCTATTTCTGGAGGATAATTTATTCAATACATTAATTTCTTTCTTCTGTTGACAAAATGCTCAGAAAAATCCTTACAATATTGCCTGAGTTTGTAAATTTATTTGGTAAACGTTTTTCCGTGAATATTTTATGAACAATTTGTTGTGGATATTCATGATTCAAATTATATCATTAATTCAGTGCCTAAGTAGTATGGTTTCTGCATTGTAATTGTCACTTGTGCAGCTTACCCACACATTTCCCATTTAGAATTTAAAGTGTGAATAATCACATTCAAACATATATTTTGTGAATATTTAAGCTTTCAAATTTAAATTTATTTTTGAAAATTTAAGTAAGCCCCATTTTTCTCCAATGAATATTAGTGTGGTTTTTTTCAATTGCTTACACAGCTCTTGTAATTGAATTTTGCTGACATAGATTTCTCCTGTAGTTTCAGCAGTTTCAGCTGAGTAGAGCCTTTTCCTTTCACTTCATTTTCTACACTTCTATGGTGTCCAGTAACTGGAAATAAGTTTTCTTTCTGTATAATACGATTTGGAGAGATTGATTACTTGATTTAGTTAATGATTACTTCACTTTGGAAATTTTGGCAACAAAACCATCTGAGAGTCCTACCGGCACTGTTGTAGAGTAGATGAATGGGGTTTTTTAATCCTTGATCAAAATCTCTTGTTGTGACATCTCAATTGACATATTAACTGTCTCTTCTTGTAATTTGGGGGGATAATGTCAGTTTGATGAAAGAGCTGTTTATGAATCTCACATCTATACAGCAGAGATGGGCATGTTGCCAAGCTCCACACAAATACATAATTTCACTTATTTTAATTGGCTTATTATTTATTCCATTACTGTGGGAGCAATTTCTCTCTGTAACATTTTCTATAAGTACAGAAGTTGTGTATTCTTCTCCTGAACACGTAGAAATACACTGGTTTTTTGTTGATGAGATCCACCTTCTTTTTCCAGAGACAGAGCTAATCTTACTGCAGAGATTCTACAATGTCTGAAAAGGATCAATTTTTGGAGGAAGAACAAGTATCTCACACTCCCGTTGGGCAAAACCAAAGTGACACTATCCAATACCCATTTTCTCGAGGGAGCACTTTCTTTTTCTCTTAATCTTAAAACCTAGACTCTGAGAATTGTTTCACACAACAGCCAACTTTAATGGGCAGAATACTGGATATTGACCGAATTCCAAAATTCATCATAGGTTTGCCATCTGTATCCAGAATAGTAAACAGGTAAGCCACCACAGAAAATTATGCGCTCGTAGAGAGAAGGGGTTTTTTTGGTGATGATCTCCATAGCCCTTTTAGGAAACTATTTAGCTGTATTTACAGAATGATATGACTCAATTTTTTAATGCCATTTTTAGGAGTTAGGATTTTAATTACGAGCCATTCTGTAACAACCATTTACACACAACTTCTTCTCAGATATTTGTTGAAATCCCTAAGTCTCATGCTCTTTGTAGGAGTACTATAATGAAATTGAAACAACAGTGTATGAAGGACTGACATACAAGAACTGATTCTCTTGGTTCTAGAGATAAATCCAGTACATTCGCTACATCTGTTAATCATTTATCCAGCATTGGATATACCTCTTTATACCATAGCTGGTGCAATATTGGCCCCAGGTTAGTGTTCTCCAGCACCGGCTCAAATGTGGTTTCCTGGGTCTTGTTGTCCAGAGCAATTCCATCCAAATAGCGATGTCACTGGGCAGTTTAGTTTGCCATTTGGGAGAGCAGTTCTTACATTTCTTCAGGGGATGAGAAAATATTCCAGACATTTTCATCACCCTTTATATTGAGAGAAAACCTGAGGTCAGAGAGAGAGAAGCTGACAGTGTATTAGAATGTGTCATATTAATGGTTATGCTATTGGAATTGGTAAGTGCCATCTGATGAATAAAGACAATATACCTAATAAGTGAAATTTACAAGTGAACAGAACTAAAGGATAAGGAGGTATTTAATTAGTTACATTTAACCTCTTAAATCTACTATTTCTTGTTTCAGTTCAGGGTAGTCTGAAAAATGTTCTGCAGTTGATTCAATCAATTGTTTTGTTTTGTTTTGATTTTTCTATTGACTGAACTGATTATTAAGTCAAGATAAGAATTATTGATATTACCAGAAGCAATGAAGGATTGGAAGTAGCAGAAGCAATACAAACAGTGAAAAGTGGAAGTAACCTAAAAAAAAAGAAAATTAGAATAGGATATGCATTCTACTTACTGTTTTGCATTTGTATTGTATAACTTTCACTGTTCTTGCATTTTTGTGTGGTCTGTCTGGCAGAGCTATTTCTCTTTTAGTGACTGATGTTATGTGCCTTTAAAAAGGCACTCCAAAAAAAGCAGTATTTTTAAAAGCTTGAGATAGCTCTTATTTTCTCAATTTACAGCTTAAAATCTATACATTTTTACTAAAATTCATGTAGGTTATTTTACAGTGTTTTACTGCCCATAACTCTTTTTCAAATAACAGCTTACATGGTTATTGGTGCTTGGCATGGCATGATCTTTAAAGAATTCATGGCAATTTTGCTTGTTTATGGAGAAAAGTATAGAACATCAACTGACAGAAGTGAAACAAAACCAAAAATTTCTTCATAGGTTATTGACTTGACAGCTGGCATGCATTTTCTTGCTGTACCTTAATAAAGGCAAACCCACCCATCATATTTCATCCTCTGGAAGTTGCATAGCTCAGTGCTCCACAGGAGGAGAAGTAAATGCTATATTTATGTATGCACTGGTGCTGCACAGCCAAAGAAATCTGCTGTATCAATGAGGAGGTGAGTCAGCAAAGCATCTGCAGAGGGAAAAGCAGGCATGACTGTTGCTGAGACACCACACCTGCTACACAAAAAGGAGTACAAATTGAGTTTCTTAATGACTTTACTGCAGCACATTTACAGTAATCTTGGCACGTAGAACAAATAATGGACATCCTACATGTACACAAGTTAAGCTATAGAGTGACAAGAAGCTGTGAAGCAGGACCACCCTGATGGAACAAACAGGCAGCAGGGAGGGATTAGTAAAGTGCTGCCATTTGGGTTTTGTTGTGAATGTGGCTGGTGGAATTGGCTTGACACTTGCTGAAAAATTATGGCTTGTAGCATGTATGTGTAAGGGGGATAGAACATAAGTAAATAAAAGGAGTATAGAAATTAATCTTACCCTCTAAAGTGCTGCAGCTGAGCCAATTATTAAGGATTAGGAGCAGGCCTGATGTTAACAGGCCACACCTGTAGCCAATAAGAAGAAGAGTGTTATAAAAGAGTGGATTGGTTGGTTGGGGGAACTAGAGTCAGCTGGCTGCTGTAAGGAAGAGTCAGAGCCTAGAGGAGCTGCCTACAAGAAACGTCAAGGAGGTAGGAAGCTAGCAATATAGAACCCTTGCACTATAATGCCAACATGTATGAGTATCTGAATGTTAGTATCTGGGAATGGGAAACTGTCCTGAAATCATTAATCCAGACCTAGATTTCAATGAGCAACTGAGTTTCCTGAAAAGCATGCTTGTTTTAGATGACTGGAAAATGGTAAGTGATTTCAGATTTGGAATAAATTTTCAGCAAGAGGCCTTGTCATTTGTGTTTGAAAGTAATTTAAATAACATTGCACTTTTTATTACCTATTGAGCCAATAGGTGATATTATTTCAGCAACTGAAAATTTGGGAAATCAGCCTATGGGAATAAATCACACTGGACTCCATTTTCTTGGGTGGAAAAAGCCCATTTTTTATTAACATAACTTCTTTTTATAGGGTTTTACAGACCTCATGTATAACTCCAATTGGTTAGCAGGTTTCTTGCCAAGTACTTTGTTGGCTAGTAGCAAGTTGTCACCCTATATTGGTCACTCAAACCCCTGGTGTGTATGTGCAGGACAAGTTCTTTGTGAGAGATAGTTGTCATTTTCCTATCTGACAGTGTAAAAACAGTTTATACAGGTGCTAGTTGTTTTTCACCCAGGAATAGATTGTTATGTTAACCAACTGCTCATGCTAGGATTGCTTTCACATGGGAACTTACAAAGTGCTAGCTTGACAAGGCCAGTCACTGATTCCAGGAGAGCAGTCTTGATTTTATGAAGCCTTTCTTTATGATTTTTCTACCTTATAGCAACATCTGCCTAACGTTCTCAAGGTACTCCTGCTTATGATAGACAGGGCTTGTTCCAGTTGCAGAGATTGGTGAGTGATCTATTTTTTCCTTGGGTTGGTGCGTGCTGTATTTTTTGTTGGATTGCTAGTGTAGAATATATGGATAGTAAAAATATTATTTACTGTTTAGAAGAAAATTATCAATAAATAGTCTGAACTCTTGAAAAGCAGAACTAAATTCTTCAGTTGTTTAAGTTCTTTGACCTGATTTTCGTTGTGCTCATATTGATTTTGGTATAAGGCATTAAACTCAAGCATAGAACAAGTGCTTTAATTTAAACAAATCATTTAACATTTTGGAGATGTCTTGGCTACTGATTTGCAAAATGGAAAATGCTTTAATAGCATTACAGCTTTTAAAGAACACAATGGAAAACTTAAGCAAATTCTCTGGAGTAAGAGTGAGAAAATCTCACCTACCTAATCTTGAGTTTTAAATTCTCAGTCTTGTCCAAGAGAAGTGCATGAGGATGGAAAAGTTACCTTTTAGTTGCCAATTTATATATGGTAGTAGAAAATGTAGCCTCAAGTTGGGGCATGGAGGGAAGACTGTCTGTATATTTTGTGCAGCAGAGAGAGCATAGAAAAATGAAAAATTGGGGAAAAGAGACCTGGATATGGAAACAAATTGAGCCTCCTTGGATGTGCAGTTGTTAATGTTGTATGGATGATTTATCTGGGTTGCAAATTAATGATGCTGAGGAAGCAGAGACACCAGTTCAGAGGTTGTGAAGGGTCAGCTCAGGTATGGAGTCTGTCATCTTTGATGCAGTGTGGTGCAGAGCTGTGGAGGGGCCAGCCTGGCAGTTTTTAGTCTGTGGTTAACACTCCAGCTGGACCTCAGCTAGCAATTGTCTGATTTCACCCTCTTTAAGCCCTCTCAGGATTATGCCATGCTCGTCATTCTCTCTTGTCACATCTAGAATACCTGGCTTATTCTAGGTATCTGCCTCTGTGGCTAAAGATCTGTTGTGTACTCATTCAGTTAATTTGTTAGCTGGAGTCACAGTGTTGGAGCAAAAAAAAAATATCTCTCTGCCTTAGAGAACTTGGTCATTGTTGTTTTAAAGAACTGCTAAGTACTCTTTTGTGGTTTTATGGAAAAGATTGGGATGAAATCTTTCTCCAGAGTGCAGTTTTAGTGCTGTGGCTGTGTAACACACCCCACCCTTCTCCTCAGGCCACGCCATGAGCTCAGAAATGCTCCTTAGCCTTGATGAGCAGCACCTGTGCTCAACTCGTCTGTGCTTATCAGTAACACCACCTGCTCCCAGGAACTTGGAGCTACAGAGCTTGGTCTTAACAAACAGCCTTGGGAACGTAGTTTTCCTGCCTGAATAACAACCTAAGTGGAATAACATTTTTGTTGTCAAACCTTCAAAGAATATTTCCAGCATGAGTTGTGGTCAGAATGGAAAATTACTGTTTCTAAAGCCATTTGTAATGGGACCCTATAAGCAGTGGTCCTGAGAGTGAGACCCTTTGGGCTCTCCTCAGCAATCCTCTCCTCATTGGGACAGCTCTTAGAACCAGCAAACTCTCAAGTTTGCTCTACTTAGAGTGCTGCCACTGAGCACCTGTGATGGAGCCTGAGCTGAAACCCCCCCACTCCCAGAGGCTCAACTCTTTGTCCATGGCGAAGGTGCAAAGGCATCTGATGGGAGTATTGTGCTGAATTTGAGAAGTTTCACAGGTATATACCTTGGTCTCTGCCTGTGTGCAGGTGTGAATATACTGTAGCAAATGTACTGTGAATGTTGCTTTCTCAGCTTCTTTACAACTTTTAATCTGTAAGTAACTGTAAGAGTTACTGTTGTGCTGTAGTAAATTTTTATATTAATATTTTGCTAAATTGTTTAAATTGAGCTATTGATTGAGTGCTGTTAAAACCTTTAGGCCTAAACCACTGGTCAAGTTCAGGGTGAGGTTTAGCAAGGAGTCTATCCTGAACCTTGTGGCTCAATGGAAGGGTCTCCTTCCTTTTCATCCTTCAGCATTTCTATCCTTACCCTTTTCCACTCCTCATAGACAACTTTTGGTTGATTTTAACTTTAGATTTATAGGTTTTTTTTTTTTTTTTTTAGATTTCAGTCCAATTTTCCTCTGTGTCCTTTAACTACCTACTGAGTAGTAGAGTGGGCCTTGCCGCAATGAACCTTGTTGTACTTTCATTTTAACATTAAGCATGCTTTTGCTGACACTTTACTGGTGATTCTTGGAACAACCTAAACCACTCATTTGTGTCAATTGCACAAATAATGAGACTTTTTCTTCAGCCTATTTCCAGCACTATCTGCTTGCCATTTTCTGTAGCAAGAGTCACACAATGCCCCTCTTGCAGTCGTTCCTCCACTGCATAACCTTAGCCTGTCTCTAGAGAGAAGGGACCAGGAACAAAAAAGTACATGAGCTAAAGTTAAATTTATGTCATTTATAATGTCACTTTATGCTGTGTGTGGGTGGCAAGGTTTTGGTAGCAGGGCAGAGAGAGGCTGCAGGTGTGGCCCTGGTGGGAAGAGGTCGGGGGCTGCCCCACACTGGGCACAGCCAGATGGAGAAAGCTGTGTCCTGGTGGGGTCTGTGTGCAGCCGAGCCAGCAGCCAAGCTGGTGGCACCTCTGTGGAAACATGTTTTAGAAAGAGTATAAGATATTAAAGGGAGAGAGGAGAAGGAAACAAAAAGAGTGAGGAACAAGACAGGGGACACCAAGATCAGAGGAGATGATCTATGAAGAATAGTCACTGCTGTGCTTGGAAGACCCACAGCAGAACAGCTGCATGTTCCTGAAGGAACTGCAGGTTGTGGTGATCACATCTCAGAACACATGCTCACTTTTAACCAGAGTACCAGGAAACAGTTTACAGAGAAACTTGTGCATTCTTAGGGTTGAGGGCTTCATAGCCAAACAATGACACTTGGAGACTCAAGTCAGTCACTCAGGAGCTCTATAGCCCATGTTACCAGTACAGTGGAGACATTAGGAGGCTTACTGTGATTGATTCCTGTCTCTTTTTTTTTTTTTCTTTTTTGACAGCAGGTTCAAGGCTGCAGTGTCTAATGATTGTATCACAAAAAACAAATCTGGAAATAAAATATCAGTGCTACTTTCTAACTCTTGTAAACCTCAAATGCTTTCAAGACTGACATTTGTCAGCCACAAGCTGCTGTTCATGAAATCAGTCATTTTGGAATTGAAGTAGTTTCCAAACAAAACAAATTTGAAGGTGACGATTACTTAATTTTACCTTTAGTTCACATAAGGAATAGTGTTGTCTGGCTATCTTAAATATTTAATTATTTCTGTTATCAAAGTGATCTCATGCTGAATGTAGTACAGAGAACCCTGCCAAAAAAAATTAAGATGAATCAGAAAATGACCTGAAACTGAACTCTCCAAATTAGAAACGAATCAATCTCTTAGATGCCAAAAGTAAGTCAGACCTTTGATGGAATCAGCACTAAATCTATTTGTAGTCTTTGGTAAAAGGGTACCTCAAGAGCCAGCATTTTCAGGTGAAAAGAAAGGAAGAAATTTTCCTAGTCTCTGCAAATGCAAGAATGTGCTCCCTCTATCTCGTTTATTTTGCTCTTAGGACTGCAATGTAGAGAAATCAAGTCTGAAAATCAGTCTCATCTTTATATTTGTAATCTTTATTTTTCTTTCCAGCAATAAATCTGTGGAATATGTGGTTCAGAGCTGTGGTTTGTATATACAGGGAGAAGATATAAAAAAACCCAAGCTCAATAAGAGTTGAAACTGGTCAGTGTTAGATTTGAAGGGCTTTTTGAAGTAATGCTAATAGCAAGAGGGAGGTCTAAAGACTACATTGGACTGATACTTGTTGAAGGTGATGACCTGGCTGAGAGCAGGATTGTTCCATGTTAAGAAGCAATCACAGCTCTCTTTATAGAGCAGAAGTTCAAATAAATTAATTTTCTGATCAGTTTGCAGAATTTTCATAATTGGTAATGATATATTTTGCCATGCTAGAAATAAGATTACAGAAATGACATGATCTAGAAAAAAGGCATTTGTAATAAATTGCTAAGTGTAGACCAAATTTATCTTTGGCATCTTTATGGTTTAACCTTGAATTTATTTGGCCTTCTTGGGTCTAAGTGGGAGTCATATAAACAGAAGAGCAAAGAGCAGTCGTGATGGAGTCTGACATTCTGATTGCAGCGTGACTCTGATGGGGAAGGTTCCAGAGAACGCTCGCGGTGACGGGAAGGACAGACCCTGCAGATGGCAGCAGAGCTTTAAACTTCAGCCGGAGACACAACCCCCTAAAGAAAACTCCCATTTCCATAGACTATTACAGCGAGACGTTTTGCTGGCAGCCAGCAGCATGTTACTGATGCCTTAAAAAAAAAAAAAAAAAACAAAAAACCCAACAGTTTTTATAATTATCAAATATTATAAGGATGTTTTTGTGCCTTTTGGAATCACTCCAATTTCCCAATGTAGACATGCCCTACCACTCTGTTTCATGTATTGCAGGTGGGTGTTTTTTCCTTTAGTATTTTTCATCCTTTAAGTTTAGAGCAAGAATGTGACCTAGCTGAATTGGAGTAGCATAGCCCACTAATATCTCTATTATAGCCAGTTTAGTCATAGCAAAATTTAAGTGACTGTTAAAAAAACACCTTTCATGTGGCAAATACCTATTTCTAAAGACACAGCCTCACAAACAGAATAAACAGATGAGTTCAAACACATGAAAAAATATCCCTTCCTGGATATGAAATACTGTTTCCCTTACTTTTACTAGCTCTGTGGTCCTAAGGTGATTTCTTCAGTCTGTCATGCTGCACAGGCATTTCTTCCTTGCTCCAATGTCTTTATCTCCTTTTTTTTGCCCTTCTTTTCTCACCAATGCTAATCCTTCTTGTAGTTTGTATCGATAATCTTTACATCTTCATCTCCTTTCAATTTCTACCCTTCAATATTAATAAGATAGAAACAATCCACAAGAATAATGATCAAATAGAGCCTAGTGCAGGTAAATGTTTGATGTCTGTATTTTGTGGCAGTCCCTCTAATTTTAAGGAATAGTTTGGTACCCATTATATTTTTGCCGCATTTAAATATTTTGGCTATTCTTCCTCTGTTTCCACTGGCTTTGCTTTATCTCTGTGCTTGTATTGTAATTTATTCAGGGCAATGACAGTGTCTTCTTACTTTGTGTACATAAAGTATCTGAATATCATCCTTGACTGAATGATGGATTCTTAGCAAATGGCTGTCTATTTTGACATGGTTTCCCGGCTGGTTCATCAAAAAGACAAAGTATGAAATAGTTTTCTGGCAGGCTAAGTAAGCAAGGGCTATGAAGCTTGAATATGCTTTTGTTTCCAAAATGTAGATCTCTCAAGAGCAATTTTAAAGCATGTGTATGGGACTGTTGGGTTGTTCAGAAGGTTTTTCTCCAAAACCAGTAAATGTTTGCCTAGTCTGAGTGTGGGATTTTTTTAGTGCTCCATTTCCTGTCCTGGAATTTTGTGTAATGTTACTGGATGCTAAAGATGCTTGTGTTTTAACAGTTTTAACAGATCAGGGGAAACCGATCTCTGTAAAGGCTTTGGGATGCTTCTAGATGGAAGGTGTTATATAAATTGTTGGCAGTTTTACTATTTCATACAGTGTGAACTGATGAAAGACAGGAAAGGAGCGGCACTTACCTCTCAATATGATATATAACTTGCCTTAGGTAGGACCATTCTGTTTACTGAACATTTCATTCAGTCCCAGTGCAGAACCAGTGGTGGCATCTGCTGTTTTCATAACAACCCAAAGAAGATGCCATGTCTCTGAATGGCTGCCTACCCCCGATGGCAAAACAGCAAAGAAGTAATGTGAGAAACAGCTCTGCTGAAAATAACTTCGGTTATCATCACTGGAGCGAGTGGATTCATTCCTGCCACAGGTCTGTTTGCCCTACAGCAAATCTCTTCTCCCATAGTGGTGGATTGGTGCCACGACTCTCTTGGGCATTCCCAGCTGTTTTTTTTTTTTTTTTTTTTTTTTTTTTTTTTTGCATCTTGTATATAAGAGGACAGGATAAAGAGGAAAGGAGAAGCTGCTAAAAGAAATATACCATTATATGACAAAACTACTAAGTAGGATGCTACTACTATTAATACTAATAATAATTTTGAAAGTAGCACAGCTTATTTTTTCTGGAATCCTGTAATTCAAACACACAGAAAAATCGTTTCCAGTTTGTTTCTGTTCAGTGAGAGACAGTAAAGGACAGAATATAACATTGCACTATATCATAGCCACTTTGCTCAAAATCTAGCAGGCAGAAACAAACAAAAGCTCACTGTGGTTAAAAATCTGCAAAGGACCAGCACTGTGACCCAAAAGAAGGCATTGGTACCACCTTTGGGCAACAGCTAACCTTTGGGAAAAACTGAATACTCACCCATTAATCAGTCAATTAATACAAAATTAGATAAACTGTAGAATTTGAGACCCCTGCAAATAAAAACATGCTGTGATCAAGAAATCATGCAACAGCTGCCTGAACGGAAAACTGATTGCAGTTTATAGCAGAAGTAAAAACCCATTTCAAGTGAAAAGGTGGAAGGAGCAGACAAGGAGTCTAGATAGATTGGTTTACACTGGGGAGTTGAGTAAACAAGTACAGAGCAACAAAAAATTCATGCTGCATCAAGGCAACAGCAGAATTCTTTCAACAGGAAGCAGAATTCTTTCAACAGGAAGCAGAATTTGCTTGCACAGTCTCTGGACCAGGTGTTTAATCTAATCCTGGGGAAATGAAACACTTTGCAAGTGTACTCAGTAGAAATGCAAGGTCTGCAGACGTTAATTTGAAACCACCTGTCAGCATGGGAAACAGTGTTTAAACACAGAAGCATCTGAAACAGCCTTTGAAAAGTTTTTGCTGTCAAATTTTGCAGCTAGGTGTTGGTGTACAGAGGTTTGCTTTTATATATATATAAATATGCTTTTAAATATTCACATAGTGTGTGTATATATATATAGGTGTATATATGTGGTTTTGTGTATACTTACACATAAATATAGAGAGAGATTTTGTTGCCACTGTGTATTTTGTAGAATAACTGGGAGCAGCCTCAAAGGGCATCACACTCAAAGCTGAGATCAAGAAATGAAGAACAAGAGTTTAATATCAAGGTCTATATCTTTATCTGGGACTTGGAAAATTATGGGAAGAGCCTCCCAGATTACACTGGTGACATCTGAGGAGTGCACCAGCTCAGAAGCACAATTTAGTGTGCACAGCAACAGATATTGTGGAAATTATTGCTGGGCAAGGAAACAACACTGTTGATAGATGAGTGATTTGGTAATTCTTTTAAATGACTGGGAATTTTTAGAAGCTTTTTGGGGGAAGTGTGTGAATTACTTTTTTTTTTCGGTGAGGTAGTCAAGGAACTGAATTCACAGACAGGAGATAGACTGTTTAAATAATGAGAAAGGAAAATCCATTGAGGAAGCAGTTTTGGGTGTACATTTCCAACCCAAGGGACACAGGTGACCCTGACAGTGACCTTATGGAATGCTACAGAACTGTAATGTAAATATTGTTAAGAGGAATGCTGTATCTAGTGGATGGTTCCACTTTCTGAAAGGGCATAAAGTTACTCACTAAGGGCATATCACCTCTCACTAAATACAGAATTACAAATTACTGGACTGTTGGCCTGATGTGCACTTCTCAAAGCTCATGAGTTAGTGTTTCCAGAGTTTTGCTGAATTTAATACTGAAATAGAAACTGCTCTATCCAAATGCTGGCCAAGTTTGGTAATGTTCCCACTTAGAAAACTGATGTAGACCCAGACTTCTGTTCTGAAAGCTGCTCTCAGTTGAGTGGAAGGCTGCAAATTTCATCTGAACCACATAGTTAAAATGCTGCTCTGGTACAGCTCTGAGCAAATGCATTGCCTACATCTTCCTAGACTTGCATTAGCATCATTAGGACACTTAAATATTTAATGGGACCTTTTGATGAAAAAATGTGTTGGTGTGAAAGGAAAAGTGGACAGGCTGAAAAACATTTAAAATGAAATGAATGACTCTGAGCAGAAAAAAGTATTCATCATGCCAAAGTGACGCCAGTTGAAATTCAAAATTATTTAAAATATATCTGGTGGGAAGAAAACTGCTTCAGGTTTTGGAATGTGAAACCCGACACAGAAATGAGCTGGTACGGGGAATACCTCAGAAGCCACTTCATAACTGGGGAACAGATGCATTTCTGCCTTGCATATTCTGGCAGACACATTCAGGTTTGCTGCTGCAGGCATGTACCGAATGTTTCCAAGTATCAAAAGACTGAGTCTTACATCATCACTTTGCAAAAAAAGAAAAATGGATAATATGGCCTGGGGCAGAAAAGGCACAGGCAGGAAGTTACAGAACCACTGAGAAAGAAGCATGGAACATGGCCCTATAAGCCAGTTGTAAAACATGGTATTTTTTAATTCCTAAAGTGCCATCCTCAGTGGAGTCTAGTACAGTGGGCTGGTCATTCGCAAGCAGCAGAGACAAAGGCTGTCTGCCTCCTTCCTTCTCTCTTGAGAGTATGCATTGTGGTTTTCCTGATGGAGATAATATCAATCTTCCAGTGAATGATACATTAGTGAAGAGTTTCTCATCAAGTCTTGCTTTGCTTAAGAAAAACTTTAGGTTTAGATTTGGCAAAAGCATGAGTACTTCCATGTGAGACTGAAAAATGTTGACATCTTGTCACCTCTCTGAAGTAATTTTAGTTATCTTGAAGGCAGATAATTTTAATTAAAATGTAATGTGGCATTATAATAAATATTACATTGAATCCTTAGACAGACCTGTTTCCCTGCTGACCTATCACCTTCTCATTGATGTATTCGTACAATTTTTCTCTAGGAGGTGCTGGTTTTCAGTGTGATCCCAGTAGGAAAGGGACTCAGACTTTGCCAAATATCTCTTAAAACACTTTTCATTTACACTAACATGGAAAGAGAGGACGGTACAGATCATTTTACATCCCCTTTGATGCTGGGGACGCTGAGCTGCACAGCATCAACAGAGCTCTGATCAGAACACAGCACACTGTGCAGACCCCATCCATGGCAAGAGCACACAGCATTTTGGCCTTTGAGCTCTTGCAGGATTTTCTCAAAAGAAAACAACTCCATTCATCATTTTTACTGTCAAACAAAGTTCTCATGAGAACTTTTTGCTGCACTTTTCAGATAAAGGCAGGGACAGGCAGGTGGTGCAGTGGCTGCTGCTGAGTTGGGTCTGCCTGCAGGCCCCTGTTACCATTAGCTGGAAGAGTTCTTCTGTGGCACAGGGACATGCACAGCATGACACTGTCCTGAGGGCCAAGCTGTAAGTGGGATGTAGCACAACACAGCCCTGTGCCTGCTGGGGGTAACTATAAAGTGCTGCACGATGGTCTTCTTGCTCCAGTCATTCTGCTTAGGGTCATTCAGAGAACAGCTAATTGCATGTTTCCCTCCCTTTCTCATACATCTCATCCTTTTACATAATTTTCAGGGATTTAGCTATCCTTAGGAACATGTGCTTTCCCTGCTCCTCCCCTTTGTTAAACCCGGCTTTAGAACAATTGCAGTAGACAGACTCTTGAAGAATTAATTCCAGGTCTTACGCTCTATGTGGTGCAAACCTAGACAAAATGTTCAGAATTTTAGTCAGTCTAGAAAAGTTCCCAAAATGGCTGAATTTACCAGATTTAACTTAATACTGAACCTTAGTCATTAACTCATATTTGGTGCCAGACAAACTTGATCCAAATACTGTTCCATGCAGGTGCTATGGAATGCTTTCCTTATTATAGAATTGTTTCCTTATTTCCTTTTATAATTGGGGGGGTTGTTTGTTTTTATTTAGCTGGTCAGTTTTTGAGATTATCTGTCTCAAAACTAAGCTGTTCCTCTTGATTTCCACTATCCTTTGTTGTCTTCTTCATTACCAGATGGCAAAGATTTTACTGCCTTTTTACTGCCCAGATACATTAGACCAGTCCTTCATATTGTTCTAGTTGTCTTTTTGGGGTTTTTTTTCTCAAGTAAATTTGTCTTTCTTTGGTCCTTTAGATATTTCTCAGAAACACTAGATAGATTTTGTGGAATTGCTGTCCAAGCTTACACTATTCTCCATTTCCTATCCACATCTCAGTTGATGCTTTTTTCATTGCAGCTTTCAGATGGGGACTTGTTAGTGCCAAGAGATTGAATCTGACAAGAAAACTGACAAGATAAGACAAGCAGTTATGCAACTGAAAAGGAACATTTCTAAAACTGAGCTTTTGGTTTTGTGATTTTTTTACCTTGGCAGGTTCTAACCAAAAAGGTGAAAATGTAGAAAACCCACAAAATTGATATTAACCATTCAGTTTCTTACAGTTCAGCCTCTAAATATTAAGTTCCAAGCCATGTTCCACTTGAGATTTTTTTGGTCTACCTACCAGTTTCTGGGGTATCTTAATAATTAAGCTTCTGAGATGCTAAGCTGTTTTTGTGGGGTTTTTTGGTGTTTTTTTTTTTTTTAATTTTAGTTAACTCCTCTTTTGCAGTAGCGCAGGAATGAGTCATTTGCTGAAAACTGGACATAGCTTTGTATCCTGTTACAGCTCGGTGTTACAGCAGTATATATAAAATATGTGGTCAATACATATGCAATGGTTCTTGGGTTTATTTTATTTTACTTTCTTCGCAGGTAAATTGGCAGTGTTCATTTTTCTTATTTAACAAAATCTTCCTCAGCAAGGTTCCAGGAAATGAAAGCACTGGAGAGAGTGTGTCTCTTTTAAGAATTGTTTGCTTAAATTTCCTAGCCGTGTCTTTTCTCCAGGCTTCAGCTCACCACACAGACATTCTGGAATAATTCCTGGTGTGAATCTGGGCTTGTGATAACTCTTGGCTTATACTAACAATTATTATTAACAATTGTTATTCATTTCCATTTTAATAATTTTAAGCATAGGCAAGCCAATATAGGAACTCAGCTAGAAACACCAGAGAAGAAAGTTAGAATAAACAGAGTTCTGACAGTTGCTGATGTTTTACATGGGGGGTCACTTAGCCCTGCTTTCAATTACTTAGCTTTAAATGTGATTTACTGCCTGCAGCAGTGCTCATGGTCTTGCTCTCTTCTTTGAGATTAACTGCTGTTAGCATAAATTTTATTTAAATTTATATAAATTTTACTTTAAAATTATCATTAGCTACAGAAGAAAAACAGTTTAAAGGAATTACAGTAATACCTCCTACTTCTGTGAAAATAGAATAATTTGACTGTCAGGTTTCCACAGAGTAACAAGGATTAAAATTCAGTATTACCATGTAACCTGAACTTCTCTTTAAAAGGAAAGAGAACAATTCTCTGACTCCAGTCTGTGTATGAGATATTTTCAATATAAATACTTGGTTCAACTGATATCCCCATAAATATCTTCTGGTCACAAATTTTATCACACAGACCTGTGATAAAATTTCTTTCGAATCATCAGTATGAGGAGGAGTTAAATCTCAAGTTCATGAGCTAAACATCCAAGAAATTACTACTAGTAGGAGCATCAGTTTATAATTGTCAGTGCTTCAGGAAAGGTAAAGAAGACACTGGTGTGATGAGCTGAATTATCCAACCAGCCAGAAAATGGCCATCCTGGGGCTGTCCATGCAGGGCCACAAGAATGACCAAGGGCATTCTATGTGAGGAGGGGGAACTAGGAAAGTTTAGCCTGGAGAAGGGAAGACTCAGGGAGCTTCTTATCAGAATGTATAAATATCTGAAGGGAGGATGTTAAAAGGATGTATCCAGACTCTTCTTAGTGCCTAGTGACAAGAAGCAATGAGCACAAACCTTGAGACAGTAAAATATGACACTTTTCTGCTGTAGCTGAACATTGGAACATGTTTCCCAGGGAAGCTGTGAAGTCTCCATCCTTGGAAATATTCAAAACTCAATGCAGTCAAATATTCAAAGTGGATGCAGTCTTGGGCAACTTGCTGTAGCTTACCCAGCTTGATTAGGAAAGCACAGAAGGTCTCTTCTATTCTCACTTCTGAGAAAAATAAACACTGAGTACTCATCTTCAATCTGAATGTCTCTGTCTTTAGAGCCCTTCCTAACAGCTTTCACTCTGAGTCTAGAACAGGATGTGCCCTTCCCTCATTTATATAGATTCCCATATTCCTTAAAAGCTGAATCTACCCCCAGACTGCTGTGTAGAATTTGGTAGGGGAAGTGCCACATGTTTGTTTCTGCCATCACAAACGTGCTGTTTGTCTGTTTTCCTTGAGTGCAGTGTCTCCAAGGGACACAGACTCCGACAGAGCACTCTGAGATCTCAGCCTTTGGGGGGCTGTGGTTAATGTGAGAGGACAGCTTCACTGGGCATTTGTCAGGTTTGCCCTCTTTCTAGCCTGATTGCTTTCTGCCAAGAGATTTTCAGCCTCCTTAGGAGTGTGCATCTTAGCCTGAAGATGAAATTCTGTGATTTCCTTGAAACCTTGTCACTTTACCCTCCCATCTCCCTGAACTCTTCAGTTCATCAAATATAGACTCAAGGGACAACAGTTTGTCACTGAGCCCCTTAAGCTGCCTGAGCTATTTATGCCACTTGCCAATGGAGCAAGTTATGATATATGGAGTTTTAAAGGGTTTTGACAATCAGGAAGTGACCACTGAGAATCCCATAATTTTGTCCATTCACAGATGATGTTGCAGTCCAGATGAACTTTCTTTTCATGCCTAGCTCTGCTCTGGTCCTCAAACTGGACATGGCTCAACATTCCCCACAGGATTGTTACAGCTAATACTGTGCTGTGATGATGTGCACTTCAGAGAATGATTCTTGTCCAGACCACAGTCCAACAAGTCTACCTAGATCAAAATTAGAATGAACAAGCAGTTAATTTCTAAACCTCTGAATTTCAGTTAGCATGAAATAGATTGCTTAAACTAAATTTCAGAGAATAGGACTAAAAGAGGAGCTTTTTTTAATATTCATAAGGTTGGGAGCATAGTAAAAACTTGGGTATAGGATGGAAAGTTGTCATTCTTGAGAGTTCCACTTAGCAAACTCGAGGACTGCACAGAAGAATTTGTCCTGTGGAAGCATTTCTGAATTGCATTCTGATACAGCAGGAAAGCCATTAAAAGCCCTAAGAAATAAGAGAAACTGACTGTGGCACTTTTTATAAATAAGAACCTTCATGGTGAAGCTCACTCCCCTAAATCCTTCACTGCTTGGTAGAAATAGGACAAATTT